TCATCGTCATTTCATTTATATTGCTAATTATTCATATTGTGCTTTTTATTTCTTTCTTCATTCATTCTTCAGAACTAAACATTATCACGTAGAGGAGGGGTAAAGTGGCGATATCCCCATGTACACGTTCTGCTATCGATCCATGCTCTTAGAAAAACTGTAGCGAGCGTCTAGAACTCCTTTTTCTTCAAAATAACAGATAAATTCAACTGAAACTAGACAGATATCTCCTATCCTAAGCGGTGCTTGCACCAATGTATTTCCACCCCTGAACCATCCCAAGATAGCACATTTCGACGCATACAATTTTCGGACACAAATGAGATTGTGCAAATTTCGTATGTGCTGATTCTCCCTCACATAAGGATATTTTTTAGTTTTCTGCATTTTTGATCGGTGGATCTCACACGAATAACAAAAGAGGCAACGGAGGTGGGTTGTGAAGCTTGATGGAGCCAAACGATAAGAGAACTGCCTGTGAAGTAGCACATTAATTGTTACCTGCAGCGAGCATTTGCTACAATCCGCATAAATTACATTTCTGAGCAGCTGCTGACCACTTACATATTTTTCCGTCATCAAGTTTATTTTTGTTTAGAGTTATTAAACCACGGATCTTCTTCGTCTGAGGCTCTCCCTCATCGAAAATTCGCTGGGCGAGGCTGTGTAGCGCGACTTTAAGTAGCGGATAGGGAATAAATCGCGATGCTAACCTCGAATATAACTTTACTCTTGATTTCAAGATTAGCACAAAGCCAGCACACACCAATTTACTCGTGATGACTAATTGTTTCCGAAGAATGCACGAAATATGTGACTTACAGGGAAAGGATTGAGTTCATCAGAAGTTTTTAGAAGCTAGCAATATTCTTCTGATCCCACTTTGTGTATAGTATTATTTGGAGGTTACAAATCCAATAAACACGAACAACGTTAAGAAAAACGAATAACCAAGACAAGCAACCAATGAAAAGGGTGCGGCTCACCGTTGAGCCTCGTTGTCGTCAAAGGGTTAGAGGTGCTGAGTGGGTTGCGGGGTGCCACGCGGCAGCGCGGCACTCTGCTCGTCTGGCACTCTCTCTGGCGAGATAGTACTGGGCCTGAGTCTGGGATGGAATGGTGAGGTTGTACTGATGTATTTCGTGATTAAGAATAAACTAGCTCTTGGCACATGTTGATATGCTTGCATACTATGGATTCAGTGTTGTCCAGTTTCACTGTGCTATTTACAAATCTGCGTAGAGGTAAGAAGTTGATTTGGTATACGAGTTTGATTATATAGACATGTGAGTAATTTTCAATAGAATGCTGTAATAGTGCTCATATATATA